ATTTAAATTAAAAAATTTTAAATAAATAATAATTGTAATAATAATAATAAGATAACAAGATGGCAAACTAGATATCAGTAGTACTTAAATTCGTCACTGATATTGTTGGTAGCAGTGGAGTTTGAGCCGAAATTAATTTGGTCAATGCATTTATAGAATTTCTTAATACTAGCCTTAAAAGAAGAGTAACTAGGCTTAGACTTTAACTGACTAGGTAGGCAATTCCAAACAATACTAGCGCGATGAGTGAAAGAATTGTGCAGGGCTTTGGATTTGGGACATTTAAGAGCAAATCTTAAGTTATCTCTTAAATTGTATGAAGTCTGGTGCTTTGTAAATAAACTGTTTATGTTATCCGGAGCTAAGTTATGAAAGGCCTGATATGCAATACAGGCAAGTCTTCTCTTATACATGTAATGTATAGATGTCCATTTTGCTATGCTAAGATTGTGACCTTATTGCAATTGTGACCTTCGAAAGTATAAGGCTGATTTAACTTATCGCACTGGCTGTTGATTAACTTTACCGTGTAATCTATTTGCATGAATGATATGCATAATTAGTCATCTCAATTGCCCATTAGCTATAGGTAGTGGATTTCGTGATATCTGTTAACTGCAGATACACTTTCGGAGTTTTCACCAAATGGGATTTGTTCCAGGAGAACCATTCTTCTGACGAAGGTGCAGAAATCACGACAGACGATATAAAAGATCGCTGCGTGGCAGAATTCATGACCACTGTGTCTGTTAGAGGAAAGATTTTCTTCCTTGACTCGCAGACTCAAAGGGAAGCAAAGAGGTATCCTTTACAGCAGGTAACTATACTGAGACTTAATTTCCCTCTTGACTCGGCGTTAGTATTTGCATGCTGTATTTGGAATTGGTGTGGAGCCCTTAGTTTCCTGTCGCGACCAGAGAAATAATAATTTCCCTCTCCTTTCCAAAATCTGAGGACATAAATGGCCAGAAGTAAAATGTTAGGGAAATCTAGGTAAGTTGCCTTTTAATCAAACTTCAAGTTTTTCTCTGATGTTCACCTACTTTTCTGAGACCAGAATTCTTCCAGCGACAGGATTGCATACTTCCAATCAACTTGAATTATCATAATTTACTCACCTCGAGATATTTTTTAGCTTATTTAAACTCTTGCCTGACCCTTCTCCTCTCAAAAACTCCTCAATCAGCCCTGTTCTGGTATTTTTCCTCCTAATCAACTGTTTAACCTTCCCAAACCAACTTTGTTCATTCTTTTTGACGCAGAATGAAGCATTTACTTCAGATGAAAGAGAAACGGAAGGTTCTCGAGGTCTTAAGGAATTCGAACTCAACTTGGTTGAAGCAGCTAAAGGTGCATTAAAATTCGAGACACTCAAGTACGATATGCAGGCATTCATTGCAAAAGCAAAGGGTTTGTCAGGAAATCTGGGTAGAATAATGGAAAGCCGAAAGCAAAAGAGAATTCAGATGAACAAACTTACAGATGCCGAAAATAGCATAAAGTCGCACCTGTCTCAAGT